GTGAAATACATACATATGTAAAAAAAATACATATTTTGATTCAAATGTTTTTTTTTTTGTTTCTTTTGGTCACTTCCTTTAGTACGACTTCCGGTTAGTACGACCTAATATCACCGGTCCCTTCGCCGTCGTTATAACCGGATTCTACTGTACTCGTCTTCGATCACGACACCGGTTTACAAGTGCTCGCTCCCGATCGCGACACCTGTCACCACGGTCCCGTTCCCGATCGCGACACCTGTCACCAATGACTCGCTCACCAAGTGTATAATGCCACACCCCGTCTCCTAGTGCAACACAACAATCTTCAAATATCCAAAACATAAAAATTTCTCAAGTGTTGATAGATGAAGTCCCTGAGACAGTACCAAATGAGACGGAGGTGAATGGACGGCAGCAAGAGACTGGACTTATGGAAATTGACACTGATATTATATTTGCCATGGGCGCTGTGGAGGAGGGCCCTGCAAGTGGTCCTTCAGCTCACAATGAGATTATGCAGCGCTGGACACCTATTCTAAGTAAAGGTCTGAAAAAAGTAGACTAGGCGATGTTACTAAAAGAATATGCTCCTTTTCATAACATACCTGCAATGGCATCCCCAAAATTTAATCCAGAGTTGTCAGCTACCGTATCGGAGCCCGTAAAGAAAAGAAATATGATTATAGAGTATAGACAGAAAAATGTACCTACTGCCCTAGCTGCCGTTGACCGTGGCTTGGAGAGCTTTATGTATTATAATAAAGTTGTGGGAATAAAAAGATTTATTGATACTGCGAAGATTTTATGTGATCTATTGCATAGTGAGACTCAGAGCTGAGAATCTCTTATTGCAAATGTCATTAAGAAGGAGTTGAAGGAGTCCTTACAGGGTAGCCTCGATGCATTCCTCTTCGATGAAGACCTCACTGAAAGAATCAGGGTGGCCAAAGCAGTCCAGAGGTCTGCTCAGGATCTGGGCACTACAGCAGCTGTTGTTAAACAAAATAATACCAACCGTAATCAACGTCTTTTAAACTCGCGGGTCCCTCCTCAACCAGGATACAGGCGCTTAGGGTTCAACAAGACGAAAACCGAGAACCAACAGAGTGGAGGAGGGAACAAAGCTTACTCTCAAAAGAAAACGTGACGACCACCGCCGCCACCCCGACACCAGCTCAGACGGAGTTACCATCCACGCAAATGAACCTGCACCAAGAGCAGGCAGATTGCCTTATTTTAAAGGAATATGGGAAACAATTACAGACGATCCTGTAATTCTTAATTGTGTGTCTGAAATTCACTTAATTTTATCAATACTCCTTGGCAAGAAGATACCCCATTTAATAATAAATTTTCTCAATCTGAGACAAATCTTATTAAAAGGAATTAAAATTTTCAAACCCATACTCTTTGTGATAAGAAAAAGAGGAATACATTTATGAAAATGTAGTATATGCTCATAAAAAATTTTATTTAAAAAGCATAGTGATATACATAATATCAACACGAGAAATAAAGACAAATATGTTGTTCCCACTACTAGACTTAAGAAAATAAGTGGTTCGTTCAGATGTCAGAGTATACGCTTTTACAATGAAATTCCCAACCATATCCAAAATTTAAGTCTAAATAAATTTAAAAATGTGATTAAAGATAAACTTTATAGTAAAGCTTTTTATAAAATAAAAGACTACCTAGATGATAGTCTAGCTTGGGAATAAGCTGCTGTAACGTCCACACAGATCATGTTGAAATGTTTGTAACATATAGTTACATTTCTTTTAGGCAATTTGACATTATTATTTTAATGTGATATTGTTTTTGATTTGAAAAATTTCTATTTTTTGTTCAACCTTGACATTTACCTCTATTTTACAATTGTTCAAAGTCAAAGTCAAAGCATTTATTTCAATTAAACCATAGTTTGGTACTTTTGAAACGTAAACAAATACAAAATAAATAATTGTCTGTCAGACAGTCGTCAGTGAAATTAGGTGAAACTAGGTGCTCATTCCAAAACGTAGATTCGAATGGAGAAGAACGAGCAAAAAACTCCATAGTATTACTTTTGAAAGCATCATAACATTACCTAATAGTTGCCAATAAGATATAGCATGGTGGCTTACTTATATGTATAAAAACAGGTATGTGTCCTATAAGGAAAAATAAATTTGGCTTAGAAATCGAGACTGACGCGTCTCTTACAGGATGGGCCGTGCAAGATGCAATAACAAAACTGCTAGTGGCCCATGGACACAAGAAGAGGCAAAGCTCCATATTAATATGTTAGAACTTCATGCAGCATTCTTAGGTTTAAAATGCTTTGCTAAAGACAAGCATGATTGTGAAATACTATTGAGAATTGACAACACCACTGCAATGTCATATATAAATCGTTTAGGTGGAATCCAATACCAATATTTGCACAATATTTCAAAATATATATGGCAGAGATGTGAATCGAAATACATCTGGATTTATGTCTCTTACATAAATACTAAGAATAACTTAATTGCAGATTTTGAGTCCCGAAAGAAAATAGGTCATACAGAATGGGAACTTGGTAACAAATATTTTAAAATAATAGTTAACACTTTTGGAAACCCCGATGTAGATTTGTTTGGCTCAATTCACAAACACAAAGAAAAATACTGGTTTTGGTGTGCCTCAAGGGAGTATTCTTGGTCCTACCCTATTTTTGATCTATATCAACGATTTATGTAACATTGAGATGCATCATGGGAAACTAATATCATACGCTGACGACACGGCCCTAATTTTTTCATCCAATAACGACAATGAACTGTACTGTAATGCTCAATTGGCTTTTAATTCAGTTAATAGTTGGCTTTGCTCTAATATACTAACACTAAATGCGGAGAAGACAAAATTTATTCACTTTTCTATGCGCAAGAGTCCAATTACCTCTGTTACACCCCAATTATACGCACATAAATGTAGAATTAGTCCAGTGGACACATGCAACTGCCCTTGTATATTAAAAACTACTTCCATCAGATATCTAGGCATCACAATTGATGAAACTCTTTGTTTCAAACAACACATCAGCGCTTTGGTTGCACGTGTCAGGAAATTGATGCACATTTTTAAAAAAATTAGACAAATCGGAGATGTTAAACTAATCACTCAAATCTACCTAGCGTTATGTCAGTCAATTATCCAGTACTGTGTTACTTCTTGGGGTGGCGCATCAAAAACTAATATACTCCCTCTAGAACGTGCTCAGAGAGCCATCCTAAAAGTTGCATTTTCCCATCCCTTTCTCTTTCCTACATCGATGCTATATAGATCCTGCAAAGTTTTAACTGTTCGCCAAATCTATGTAGTACAGCTAATACTCAAACAACATTCACTACTCAGCTTCAATGTTAATAATCTTACTAACAAAAGGCGGAATGATATGGTTTGCACTTCAACCTCAGTGTCAAAACACGCTTTTATAAAAAGATTCTTTATCTTTCTTGGCCCATTTTTATACAATAGAATAAATAGAGAATTAAGTATTTATAGCCTCAATCACTTTCACTGTAAAAAACTATTACATAATTATGTACACACCTTAACATACGATCAAACCGAGGAATTACTTGAAGTAAGCAAATAATTTTATTATAGTTGACTTAGTTATTTTTGCTTACGTTTGTTTATGAAACTGTACACGCGCACCTGTTATACTTAGAGACTAGCTTAATTTAATTTAGACATAACATTTTTAGTTTTATAAGCAATATTATTGTATATTAAATATTTCAGTACATTTTTAACCTGAAACACAGGCTTGGACCTAGTTCAGGTTTCACATATTTTTAGACTTTGTTTAGATATTAAGATTTATTTTGTAATCTGGCTTTTTACACCAAATAAACATTTTATTTATTATTATTATTATTATTATTATTTATACAAAATGCGAAAAATATATGTCTTGGCATCCTGATCCTGATGCATTTAAAGTTGATGCATTTACCATTTACTTGGTAAAAAGTAGTATTTGTATTTTTATGTTCTTCCACCCGTTTTCAATGCTTTCTAAAACTAAATTATAGTGGATAAAGCCAAAGGTATCATGGTAGTACCAGATTGGCCTATGTTGGGCCTGTGCTTAGGCAAGCAAAAGGTAATATGCGAACTAAGGGAACTCGCACGGCCCAGCAGTCCCTGCCTGGTCGCGGTATTGTATAATCGTGTGTGTGTGAAAGAAATAGACTTTTTTATCGGTAAAAAATGTTTAATTTATTATCCCGAAACTAAATAATAAGAGACCCTACAATTGGTGACCCCGACGTGATCATTAATCCTACTGACATTTTTGCGGACAAAATAATGGTGATAAATAGTGCAGTGTGCAAATTGAACATAAATACGGGCTGACTAACGAGCTCAACACTTAGTGGGGTTAGTGCCAATTTTTACGCGTGTAATAGGCTCAGCAATGGCTAACACTAGTCAGCAAGTTCAAAAACCTATTCTACCGCCGAGCTCAAATATACCTCCAAGTGGTGACTTAGCCAGTATCAGTGTAGCATCAAAAATACCGGAGTTTTGGACTGATCTGCCGAGGCTATGGTTTGCCCAGTTTGACGCGGTGATGGACCCCCAAAAGCAAGGCGACACCGCGAAATACAATATGGTCGTTGCAAAATTAAATCGGGAAGCACTACAACAAGTAAGCGACCTGATTTATACGCCACCAACGGATAACAAGTTTAATACAATTAAGGAATGACTATTGGCAACGTTTGAAGAAAGCGCCGAGAAGCAGTTTGACAAGCTTGTAGGCGAGATGGATCTAGGATCGCAACGCCCATCACAGCTTTTGAGGAAGATGTCAGCACTCGCTGCCAACACCCAAGTTGCGAACGATGCTCTTAAGCGACGCTGGATTACAAGGCTACCGTCAAAAGTGAAAACTGTGTTATCAGTCGCACCGGATATGGCATTGGATAACTTAGCAAAATTGGCTGACAAAATTATGGAAAATATGCTAACTGGGGAAGTGGCCGCCGTTGCATCTACCACGCAGACCGCGGACATATCAGACCAGTTAAAACAGGTGACCACAGAACTAAAGGAGCTGCGTCTCGAATTGAACGAGATAAGAGGGAGGACCGAGAATAGAAGAGGAGCATGGAATCGGCAAAGGTCTAGGTCACAGTCACGGGGACAACCGAGAACTCCAGAAAGCCCCGGGTGGCTGTGCAGGTACCACTACCGTTGGAGGAACCGTGCCAGGATGTGTGAACAGCCCTGCAACTGGAAGAAGCCCAGAGCAGCAGCTCCGGCGGAAAACTAGACGCCGTGCAGTCCGGCTCGGTGAGGGACTGCAGGGAGTTGGGCGCAAATCACCGTTTGTGTGTTATGAACAGGACGTCAAAAACTCGTTTCCTAGTCGATACAGGAGCCAATGTTTCCGTCCTACCAGTAAATCATTATAAGTATGAGAATTCGGTAAGTGAATACAAATTATATGCAGCAAATAACACCGTAATAAAAACATACGGAGTTAAGACTTTAGAATTAAATTTAGGATTACGAAGAGCGTTTAAGTGGACTTTTATTGTATGTGAAGTCAAGCAGGCCATTTTGGGCGCCGACTTTATTGAACATTATAAGTTAGTTATAGATTTATATCATAAGAGACTCATAGATAGCGTTACAAATTTGCGCACGGATGGGTCTATCGTACAGTGCGCCGAACCTTCTATTAAGTAACAATCCGTATAGCGACCTGTTACAAGAATTCTCAGGCATCACAAAGCCTATCGCTTATAGGGATATTCCGTCGCATTCAGTCTACCATCATATAGTCACTTCCGGCCCGCCAGTATATGCGCGCCCGCGTCCGCTGCCGCCGGACCGATACAAGAAAGTTAGAGATGAGTTTCGTACCATGCAAGAGCTAGGGATCTGTAGGCCAGGGCAAGGTGAGTGGGCTAGCCCCTGCATGTAGTTCCAAAAAAGGACGGTAACATACGCCCCTGCGGGGACTACAGGGGGCTTAGACAAAGTAACAATTTAAAAACGATAACGAAGTTCGTTAAGACTAAAATGTATGGGATTGACATAGGCCGCGTTAAGTCACGTGGTCAATCGACATCGTTATCGCAATTTGGTAGACAATGTTATATTTCATAACGAAACTATAAAGTAACGAATCGTTATCGTGTTGATTCCATATAAATGCGTAGACAAGCAGACCTTTCAGTGTTCGCCAACGCCTCGATCGTGATCGCCAAAAAAGGTAACGAAACGAATGCTAAAACGTTGTAGTTATTGAAACAATATGGCCGAATTTCATTCGGCAGCAGATTTTTGACATCGATTGATCCTGTTGTTATTTATTTTGTGTTAGAGGCAATACACTAATACAGATCAAATAGATTAAAATATGCATTCTCTGCGTTTATTGTGGGCTGCACACAATGAGACCGCCTAGGAGAGGCGCCAAAAACGGTTAAAACAGCGACGGTTCAACATAGGTACTTCATTGTTAAGATCGCGTCATTGTTTACATTACATACTCATGAATGAAACTTAGATTTACTTACGTTTCCATATACTCGAGCAGCGTTGCGGATTGTTCAGAACTTGCCCGCACTCTTGATTCCATGTTTTATCATTAAAATAGATAAGAAATAGAGAGAGATCCATCATCGTTTGAACACCAGTCACTCATAAAAATGAGTCTATTTTGATTATCCTTAAGTTTTGGAAACGATCTAAAAGTAATAACACTCTATTCACTTACGACTGTGAAATTATCGTTTATATTTAACTTAAAAACAATTAAACGCAACACTCACTTTCTTTTTAATAGAATTTTAAAACATCAATATCTCGCGGGTTTGATCCGATTTGAACTTTTTGACTGTCACTGACAGCTGGATTTTCGATACCATAACCAATATTTTTGTTTTTTGCCGAATAAAGAATTCGACACAACGATCACGACCATAGTGTTACATTGGCTAGGAAATGTTTATCGTTATCTCAGAGACGATGGCGAATTTACTTTTCGTTGCGCTATTAAGCGATGTTACTTTGTCTAAGGACCCAGGGCCCTTAACGCGATAACGAAACCGGATCGATATCCCATACCTAGATTGCAAGAATTTACGTATATGTTACCTAGTAAACGCGTATTTACACGATTAAATTTAAATAGGGCTTACCATAATATAGCTGTGGCACCAGAAGATGTTGAAAAAACCGCCATTACTACTACATTTGGCCTTTACGAATTTCCCCGCATGAGTTTTGGATTAAGAAACGCCGCGCAAACGTTCCAAAGATTCATGGACCAACAAGTTTTAAAAGGTATAGAACAAATGGGCGTGTCAGACGATGACACGGAGTCAACAATCTTTTGTATATCTAAAAATGTAGATATTCATAAAATACACTTAAGAGCACTTTTCAAAAGGTTACATGAGTTCGGTATTACTATTAATTTAAATAAATGCGTATTCGAAAAGACAGATGTTGAATTTTTAGGGTACAACGTTTCGGAAAAAGGTATCAAACCAACAGTTGATAAGATAGAAGCAATAACTAAGTACCCCAGACCAGTAACAGTCGAACAACTTAGGCGTTTTATGGGGATGATTAACTTTTACAGGTCCCATTTACCCAATGCAGTAATACATCAAGCGGAACTAAACAAGTTTTTACATAACACTGAGAAAAAGGATCAGACACAAATCGTATGGGATAAAAAAAGTGTAGAGGCATTCGAGCAGTGTAAGATAAGCCTAAAAAGCGCCGTTACACTGTCGCACCTAAGTGCAAATGCACCATTAGGTCTAATGACAGACGCATCGGACACTTGTGTCGGAGCGGTTTTACAACAAAAAATCAAGGGAAACTGGTTACCTATAGGCTATTTTTCAAAGAAATTATCGGATTCGCAACGAAAATATAGTACGTATGACAAAGAATTAACAGCAATTTATTTAGCTATGGTACATTTTAGAAGTTTAATTGAAGGTCGTCAAATAACTATATTTACAGACCACAAACCACTCATTTTTGCATTCACCAAAATAGGAACGGATAAAGAAATTCCTAGAAGAGCCAGGCAATTGTTATATGTAAGCGAATTCACTAACGATATACAACACATAAGCGGCTCTGGGTCCTTAGACAAAGTAACATCGCTTAATAGCGCAACGAAAAGTAAATTCGCCATCGTCTCTGAGATAACGATAAACATTTCCTAGCCAATGTAACACTATGGTCGTGATCGTTGTGTCGAATTCTTTATTCGGCAAAAAACAAAAATATTGGTTATGGTATCGAAAATCCAGCTGTCAGTGACAGTCAAAAAGTTCAAATCGGATCAAACCCGCGAGATATTGATGTTTTAAAATTCTATTAAAAAGAAAGTGAGTGTTGCGTTTAATTAATTGTTTTTAAGTTAAATATAAACGATAATTTCACAGTCGTAAGTGAATAGAGTGTTATTACTTTTAGATCGTTTCCAAAACTTAAGGATAATCAAAATAGACTCATTTTTATGAGTGACTGGTGTTCAAACGATGATGGATCTCTCTCTATTTCTTATCTATTTTAATGATAAAACATGGAATCAAGAGTGCGGGCAAGTTCTGAACAATCCGCAACGCTGCTCGAGTATATGGAAACGTAAGTAAATCTAAGTTTCATTCATGAGTATGTAATGTAAACAATGACGCGATCTTAACAATGAAGTACCTATGTTGAACCGTCGCTGTTTTAACCGTTTTTGGCGCCTCTCCTAGGCGGTCTCATTGTGTGCAGCCCACAATAAACGCAGAGAATGCATATTTTAATCTATTTGATCTGTATTAGTGTATTGCCTCTAACACAAAATAAATAACAACAGGATCAATCGATGTCAAAAATCTGCTGCCGAATGAAATTCGGCCATATTGTTTCAATAACTACAACGTTTTAGCATTCGTTTCGTTACCTTTTTTGGCGATCACGATCGAGGCGTTGGCGAACACTGAAAGGTCTGCTTGTCTACGCATTTATATGGAATCAACACGATAACGATTCGTTACTTTATAGTTTCGTTATGAAATATAACATTGTCTACCAAATTGCGATAACGATGTCGATTGACCACGTGACTTAACGCGGCCTATGTCAATCCCATACATTTTAGTCTTAACGAACTTCGTTATCGTTTTTAAATTGTTACTTTGTCTAAGCCCCCTGATAACGCAGTGGCGGACGCCTTATCGCGAGTTGAGTATATTTCTGGCCCAACAACGATAGATTACAAAGAGTTAGCGCGAGCGCAGAAAATCGAAGCCCCAATTACCACTAAACCAAATAGTAAGTTAACACTCAAATATGTTAATGTACCAGGTTCTAATATCCAAGTACACTGCGAAATGTCCACGGGCGTCGCACGACCTTATTTAACTTCCACATTTCGAAAATTAGCCTTTAACAGCGTACACAACATAAGCCACCCTGGCGTTCGTATCACCCGGAAGATGATTACAAAAAGATTTTATTGGCCAGAAATGAACAGGGATATTAATAATTGGACTAGGAGTTGCGTTTCATGTCAAAAGACAAAAGTAAATAGACACACAGTTTCAGGTTTATCTAAATTTCCACCGTGCTCCAGGTTTGAGCACATTCATACGGACATTGTGGGCCCGTTGCCCACATCAAAGCAGGGACATCGCTATTGCATCACAATTATCGACCGTTTTACGCGTTGGCCTGAGGCCATACCAGTCTCAGACATATCAGCGGATACGGTATCTAGGGTCATTTTTGAGCAATGGATTTGCAGATTTGGCTGCCCAAATAGAATCACAACGGATCAAGGACGGCAGTTTGAAAGTGACCTTTTTAACGCCTTAATGAAACTAGTTGGGGTACAAAGGGTGCGAACCACACCGTATCACCCGCAACGTAACGGAGTAATTGAGAGATGGCATCGTTCTTTAAAAAATGCGCTGACCGCACGACTTACGGCCGATAAGGACTGGGCAGAAGAGTTACCAATGGTATTGTTAGGGTTGCGGGCAGCAAGTAGGACAGATACGGGTATAAGCGCAGCGGAAATGGTTTATGGGGAAACGATTAGGCTTCCAGGAGACGTTTTTCTTGTAAAAAATAAAAAGGTTAACGGACGAACATGTGTTATTAAAAGAATTGCGACACACTATAGGTAAAGTAAGGCCTCAGTCGCGAGCGAATAGCGACTCGCGGAAAATTTTTGTTAGCAATAGTTTAAAGTCGTGTACACATGTATTTATTCGAAACGACACCCTAAAAAATCCTTGTGTCCCACGTACGATGGCCCATACCCCATACTTAACAGATATGATAAAGTTTACAAAGTAAAGCTACCCAATAGAATCATACAGGTGTCCATAGATAGGCTCAAACCGGCCTTTACATTAAACGAGGTAGAAAACCTTGATGATCGATCATGTTTAGACCGTAAGTTAGGGGTAGACAATAATAATAAGAAAACAAAACCGCCTTCGCTCGTAACTAGTACCACACGCAGCGGTCGGCGCGTTAAGCCACCCGTGCGATTTTTAATGTGACCCACTTATTGTAAACTTATTTAGATATTTAGCAAACCTATAGAAATATAAATTAATTTTAAGCATTAATTGTAATCTGGCAGGGCAACAAGTAACATTGTTTTACTTTTCATATAATTCAAGACACTTTTTATTCTTTGATAATCTTAATAGATAATCTTGGGTTACAATCAGTCAAAAGAAGAAGAGAAAATCATAATTACACAGCAGGGAGGTAATGAAAACCAAATTAACGAGATAGAAAAGAAATTGCAGCATTACAGCATTTTGGTAATATTAGCATGCGTCCTTATTACACTACTCTGCTTGTGTGTGTGCGGTAAACATTGTTGCAAACGTGTTAAAAAACACGCTAAGAAAGTACATACTGGTGGACAACATATTGGTGGACCGAGGAACAAGCAGTTCAAGCTACCCCACAAAATCCAATGCAGCCAGTTGGACAAACATGTTATCAAAACCCCTGTTAAGTGGACAGTACGAGCAGGTTGTATGGTTACACATAAACGCTCTTTTCTTTATTTATATGTTATAGTTAATAAAATAATTTTGTAGTGTTTAAAAAATATTATACATTCAGTAACATAATTAGTTTATTATTTGTTCTATTCTTATAAATTGTAACATGACGATGTTTATGTCACACATCCGTTATAGACGAGACGGTGTAGCGCAGCCATTTCGCAACTAAGCAAATTCCTGTGTGCCTTGTGCGCTCAAATGTAACTTTAACTTTGGTAAATAATTAATCATTTTATATTGTAATTTTTGTGTGTCACTAATATTATATTGTATTATTTTTTTTTTCAACAAGGGGAGGATTGTTGGGCCTGTGCTTAGGCAAGCAAAAGGTAATATGCGAACTAAGGGAACTCGCACGGCCCGGCAGTCCCTGCCTGGTCGCGGTATTGTATAATCGTGTGTGTGAAAGAAATAGACTTTGTTATCGGTAAAAATTGTTTAATTTATTATCCCGAAACTAAATAATAAGAGACCCTACAGCCTACACAACCATGGTACCCTATTGTTCAAAAACTCTTAACAAGTAAGCCATTATTACAGTAGAATCCGGTTATAACGACGGCGAAGGGACCGGTGATATTAGGTCGTACTAACCGGAAGTCGTACTAAAGGAAGTGACCAAAAGAAACAAAAAAAAAAACATTTGAATCAAAATATGTATTTTTTTACATATGTATGTATTTCACATAATGTATTATTGTAATGAAAATAAAAGTAACATTAATTCAAAAATGTACTTCAATGTCTAAGGTAGGATAGCAAAATAACCGTGCGCGTACATGATGTACATACATCTCTAATATAATCTACATAACAAATGACAAAATATCTAGTGCAAAAAGTCTGTAATTTTTGATTGTTTTTGGCTTTTATTTCTATAGTAAGAAGTACGGATTCGGTTATGCAAACAAGACATCATTTTTTTCATATTGTCATCTTCAAAATTAGAATGCACAAACACATTCAGCACTTCTGCAGCTTTTAGAGCTTCAGATAAAGTCGGAGTGGTACAATTTTCTTCCAGGCCGTCGTCGTCATTATCGTCGCTATCTTGACCGTTGTCGATAACACTTTGTAGAATATTTTCGTCAGTCGGCTCCTCACAAGTTGCGAGATCATCATCAATAGCAGAATATTGTTCAAGTTCTTCATTTCCCATGGGAAGTCCTTTATCCAACGCTCTCGCCCAGATAGACAGCGGCAAATCATCATCGTCATCGCTGGCGGAAACAACACTGAGACTGTCTTGGACAAATCCAGCGTGTCTATAACAGTTGAAAATCGTCGCTGATGTAAGCTTATTCCATGCGTCGTAAATCATTAGAATAGCATCCAGTATTGTGATCTTCGGATGTTTGGCACTGCTGGTGTTTTCATTTGCATCAAGATTAGCGATAATTTTTAGAACCAGGTTTTTACGAAAGTTTGATTTTAACACTCGAATTATTCCTTGGTCCATAGGTTGTAATACAGATGTTGTGTTCGGTGGCAGAAAAAATAGAGTTATGCTTCTCAAATCGCTGATCTGGGGATGAGCTGGACAATTGTCAACTAGAAGCAGGATCTTTTTATTCTTTTTAGTCAGTTCACGATCCCAGTCGCGTACCCATTTGATAAAAATATCAGATGTCATCCAGGCTTTGTGATTGCTTTCATAATCTACCGGGAGAGATCGTACATTTTTGAAACATCGTGGGTTCTTTGACTTGCCAATAATTAACAACTTCTTTTTTATCGTGCCACTCATGTTAGCTGCAACCATCACAGTTATTCTGTCTTTCGAAAGTTTTCCTCCTGAGCATTTTTCGCCTCTAAATTTTAATGTTTTATCTGGCGTTAATTTAAAGAATAATCCTGTTTCATCTGCGTTAAATATTTCATCGTCACTAAATTTTTTCCGCAAATTAGGCCAAACTTTGCTTAGCCACTCTGTTACATCGCTCTGTTCAACCGACAAAGACTCACCAGCAATTTTTCCGGCAACAATATTGTGTCTCTTCTTGAAACGGTTAATCCAACTCGCCGAACAATCAAAATTCAGAATCTTTAGCTCTTTAGCGAAAAAAGTAGCTTTTTGTTGAAGCATAGGCCCATTTACGGGTATTCCACGATTACGCTGCAGCTTAAACCATTGTAAAAGTGCCGAGTCCACTTGTTCTTGAGACGATAACCTCACACGTTTAGGTTTTAAAACATTCGCATTGAACAAAGGTTCTATTTTGTGTTTATTTTTCTTAATTGTTGATATTGTCGAATGATTTACACCGAATTCCTTCGCAATCGTTGCATTCGACTCGCCAGCTTCTAAACGTTGTATTATAACACTTTTTTCTTCAACAGAGAAACTTTTTCGTTTTATAGAAGCCATTTTTGTACGCCAAACTACGCATCACCCGCTAATTAACGCTGAGAACTAAACGGTCACACACGAATCACTGACGTGCAAGCAAGGGGGGGTGTCAAGCGGAGATAGTTTCATACCTACGATTTATTTGTAAACACGTCAACGCTCATCGTCGTTGTAACCGGATAATTTTATGTGATATACCGTCGTTAAAAGCGGTCGGTCGCTGTAAGCGGAGTCGTAATAAACGGATGTACTTTCATAAAGGGTCATATGAAAACCAAACAATCGTCTACACTCACGTCGCTAAAAACGGTTGGTTGTTATATGCGAAGTCGTACTAAACGGACTACACTGTATATAAACCAAACAAAAGTTTACTGAAGTTATGTAATTCCAGGTCATTTCATCCATTAAATGAGAGCCTAACATTATTGGTAGGACAGCTCTGCGGCGCAGCTTTCTAGAAGCAGGTTTAGAACAAGAAGCTACAGACATAATGCTCAATTCAATATCTAATAATACTCTGAAGCAATATTCCCCTTATATAAAGGATTGGATAACATATTGCTATGCAAATCAGCTAAGGACATTAAAAACAGAAATTATATCTTATCTAACTAGTAAATTTAGAGATGGTTTGTCATATGGCAGCTTGAATTCTACCCGGTCTGCTCTGTCACTATTTTTAGGCTCTCATGTTGGCACAGATTGCAATATTAAAAGACTGTTTAGGGGTTTCTTTAAGTTAAGGCCAAGTCAGCCTAAATTTGATTACACATGGGATGTGTCTAAAGTATTAAATTACATGGAAAACAAATATACAACCTGGGATAATTTAGAATTATGTTCAAAATAGGTTGTTAACTCTTTTAGTTTTAGCTACAAGCCATAATATTAAAATTGAGACTGATTTTGTGTTTATAATAAAGTAGATAAGATTCTTAAAACATCTGCACCTAATAGGATGCAACCTTTTATTAAGTTACCATTTTTTACAGACCGCCCCACATATCTGTCCGGCTAAGGCTGTCATTGATTATTTAAATATAAAAAAAAAAATATTAGATGTGATTTTAAAAACCTATTCTTATCATTTAAAAAACCTTATAAACTTGTAACTGTCAGTTCAATCAGCCGTTGGATAAAGTCTGTGTTGCAGGAAAGTGATATAAATATTAACACATTTTCTGCACATAGCACTCGACATGCGTCTACTTCTGCAGCACTTCAGAGGGGTGTCTCTATCGATGAGATCCGAAGAACGGCTGGCTGGACTGACAGCTCAACTTGCTGTGCTAGGTTCTATAACAGAAAGAGTCTCACACTCCCTCCCGCCTCACCTAGGCGGGAGCAGTCATTCGATAATTTTCCCCCCTTAAAAAAAACGTAATGAAAGCTTAACAGAAGCAATTCTCCGCTCTTGAACAGGGATTAATTATTAAGTATATAATATTGTTCATTAAGTTAAGTAGTACTCATAACTTAACAGAAATTTATTAAAAAGATCTGATTGTACAACAGTGTTTGAACATCCTTAGTAACTTTCATCATCTTCGGACGAGACAACAGGAATAATCTCAATCGAACGGCGCTTACAGGTAAGCTAGTTCGATTGTTCAATTATGTTTGTTTCGGTATTACTCTTCGTATTTGCATACTGTTTTGCCAAAGATTCAGGTGGAATATTACTTTGAAGTAAAACTCTTTTATTTTTTCTTTAAACTGTGTAGACACGCTAGCCAATTATTTTAAAATTAAAATGTTCTGAACGATTTTCTGAAAGGAAACAATGTTTTAACGAATATTGGGCCTTGGGCAGTAGAGATCAGAGAGCAATGTACGTACGTCTTATAACAAAATTAACAAAGAAGACACAAAAGACTGATAGCAGAACAGTTTAGAGAGATTATTATTACAAATATAACCTAATTATAAATAATGAACACAAATCAATTTGTAAGGAATACTTATGTAAAACGTATGGGGAAACCAAAGGATTTGTAAATATCGTGTGAAAGTGAAACATAATCCAGCACCCTGGCTCACTTCTGTTATCGAGGATGCTATGGCTCACAGAGACAGATCCAAACAGAAATATAAGCGTAGACCTACTGACGAAAACTTGGCTTATTATAAAGTTCTACGCAATCGTTGTAATCGTCTGTGTAGGGACGCTAGAAGGCATTATTTCGACGAGAACCTGGTCAATCGTGACTCTGCGGATGTTTGGAAATTTTTGCGATCTGTGGGTATCGGTAAATCTCCTATTGCAGTTTGCAATGGTGTAGATCTTGCCTCGTTAAATAATCATTTCTCGCTCTCCCCAGTTTTGCTTGATAGCTCAACTAAATCTAACACCCTATCCCACCTCCTATGCATATCTCTTCCTTCTTGTTCTCCTTTTGAACTCAGCTGTGTGTCTGAAAAGGACGTAGAAAAGTCATTGCTTGCTGTTAAATCTTCTGCAGTGGGTAATGATAATCTATGTTCTCGAATGTTCTTCCCCATTCTCCATCTTTTAATCCCTATCCTCACACACATTTTCAACTATTCACTATTCTCTTGCTCGTTTCCCTCCTCCTGGAAGTTGGCCCATATTATTCCGTTGCCTAAAATCAATAATCCTTCCTCCCTTTCTCACTATAGACCTATCTCTATTCTCCCTTTTCTTTCAAAGGTTATGGAACATCTAGTTCATAAGCAACTTTCTTCATATTTAGCGACTAATAACCTTATTTCTCCCTTTCAGTCTGGTTTCCGTCCCGGTCATAGCACTGTTACAGCTCTGCTTAAAGTGACTGATGACATTCGCTGGGCAATGGATAACAAATCACTCACAATTCTTGTATTGTTGGACTTCAGTTCTGCCTTCAATTCTGTGGATTTTGATATCCTTTTGGGGGTGCTGAAGGCCAACAACCTCTCTCCTTCCTCTTTATCCTGGTTCGACTCCTACCTACGGGGCCGCCGTCAGCGGGTTCGCTTGGATGAAAACTTTTCCGATTGGTGTGACCTTGCTACTGGTGTGCCTCAGGGTGGCGTCCTTTCCCCTATTCTTTTTTCCGTTTTTATCAATACTGTTTCCAGGGTCATAACTTCTAATTACCATCTTTACGCGGACGATCTGCAGCTTTACCAACACTTCAGTCCTTCGGAGGCTAATACTGCGATTGATGCGATGAATCGTGACTTGGACAGGGTCGCCGAGTGGGCCAGGTCCTTCGGCCTACAAATTAACCCGCTTAAATCCCAGGCCATGATTATCGGAAGTAGATACTTTCGCAATGCACTAGACATCTCTGCCCTTAATTCTTTGCGTCTGGATGGAACTGCGATCCCATTTACTGACACTGCTAAGAATTTGGGCGTGCACATTGATTCGTACCTGTCGTGGGGTTCCCAGGTGAGTGAGGTCAGTCGAAAAGTCCACTATTCTTTCCACTCGCTGAAGCGTCTCCAGACTCTTTTACCATTAAAAACAAAGATTCTCCTCGTGCAGTCATTGATCCAACCTTTGATCGATTATGCTGACGCTTGCTATTTGGATGCCACAGAGGAGCTATTAAATAAGCTTGAGAGATTGCAAAATATCGGTATTCGTTTCATCTTCGGCCTAAGAAAATATGATCACATCTCCGAATTTCGTAAAAAACTCAAGTGGCTCCCAATCCGCCTTCGCAGGAACACTCGCATTTTATGTCTTCTCTACAATATCCTCTTTAATCCTACTTATCCTTCTTACCTTCGTGAACGTTTTTCCTTTGCTCGTCTTCCCGATTCCCTTTCCCGATCACATCTTAAATCACATCTCCAAATTGTATCCCATAAAACCGACCACTACTCTTATTCCTTCTCGGTTCATGCGGTGAGGCTGTGGAATGCACTCCCGCCTAACATACGTGACTCTAAGTCTATTTCAATCTTTAAAAAATGTGTGAGGGAACATTATCACCTTTCCTATTAAGTACAGATTGTGTTATATCGTATGTATATTATGTATTATATATTATTTACATATTGTATGTATAAATAGGTACTTATTTATATTTATTTTATATGTTTTTATTGTATTATTTTGGTTAATCTAATTTTAATTATCAGTTTAAGTTTTCATTGTCTTCTTCTTGTTTGTTTTTTTTTTTTTGTTTTTTATTGTTACACACTGTGTCATATGTCGTATTTATTTCTCCTTTCGCAGGGCTGCAGGAAGAAATCCCATAAGGGATATGCAGTACCTATGTACCCCTGTTTGTTATTATATATATTTTTTCTGTGTATTGTCTGTGTGTACATGAACAAATAAATAAATAAATAAAATAAATAAATATTATAATAGGTAAGAAAAAACACTCTGTAAGCGGAGTAATAATTGCTGATAAGAGAGGAAGGCAACCACCTAAAAATAAAAATAAACTATTGACGATACTTGGTAGATAAACTAAATGCATCAAAAAAAAGTCTTTCATCATTGTGCTCCTATTTATGGGTCGTCTAGGTCCTTTAAACCCAAAGCATATGATGTCAATCATGTCATATATAAAGGCGCTAATAATATTTTGTCCGAGAATATTATGTTTTTGTAGAAAATTAACAAAACACGCACCTAACATCATTTCCAGCCATACGAAAAATCGGATATCTAACTATAAATATCAAAATAGCACCAAAACTAGAGGCGATGGTGCATTTTTGAAAATAACTATAGAGTGACTATAAAACGAAGATGCATTACTGCTAAAAATTTTGAACGTGATCTATAAAATTTGGTCTAAAATTAATTATTCATGAAATGTTACGATATTTTCATCATTTCCGTAAAAGTTCGTCAAACAGCATTTTTTTTTATTCTGTTGCAAAAAGCACATGACACGATCGCATAATGATGCGGACGTGGGGCCCGCACCTTTGTCAGTTTCCAAACAGGCTGCGAAGTAAGTGGACATGTGTTTACAGTGTAATTTGAGCTCAAAATTTAATATTAAATATTTTCGTGAGACAATTGTCACGAATCGCATCATTTC